ACTCCTTGAAGTGGTGCAAAGTTACATGTAGCTTATCCAAGTATCGTTGCATCCTATCCTCTCAAACTTCGAAACTTTTGTTTACTTGGTTCACCACCAACAGAGAATCGCGCTTGGCTTCGATGATTTCTGCTCCCAAGCTCTTAGCTAGCTCGAGACCTGCAATCATGGCCTCATACTCGGCCTCATTTTTAGTCAATCTAGAAGTTTTGATAGATTGTCTAATGGTATCGCCCGTGGGTGGCTTCAAGACAATGCCAAGCCCGGACCCTTTCACATTCGAGGTACCATCCTTAAAAGGGTCCATACCCCCGATGATGTACCCGAACTTACCAGGAGTTCTTTCTCCACTTCGAGTACGAGGGTCAGCGTAAAATCAGCCATGAAGTTAGCTAAGATTTGAGACTTGATGGTGGTACGGGGTTGATATTCGATATCATACCCGCTAAGTTCGACGACCCATTTGGCTAGCCGGCCCGATAGCTCGGGCTTATGAAGAACACTTCGATGGAAGTAAGTGGTCAACACACATATGGGATGACATTGAAAATATGGCTTTAGCTTTCTAGATGCGCTTATCAATGCAAGTGCTAATTTTTCTAAGTGAGGGTATCTGGTTTCAGCATCTCCTAGAGTTCGGCTTACATAATAGACAGGGAATTGCGTACCTTGCTCTTCTCGAACTAGTACCCCACTTACCGCTATCTCTGATACTGCCAAATATAGGTCAAGTTTTTCATCTACCTTTGGAGTGTGAAGCAAAGGCGGGCTTGATAAGTATCATTCTTCCAAGGCTTGTTGGCATTCCGGGGTCCATGCGAAATCCTTTTTCCTTTTTAGCAAGGGAAAGAAACGGTGACTTCGATCTGACGACCTCGAAATGAATCAACCCAAAGCAGCTATTCGCCCTATTAGCCTTTGCATGGCCTTCACGCTATCCACGATTATGATATCCTCGATGGCCTTGATCTTATTGGGGTTAATCTCGATACCCCGATTCGACACCATGAAGCCGAGGAACTTACCCGAGCCGACTCCGAAGACACATTAAGCTTCATGTTGTACTTCCTCAAGATTTCGAATGTTTCCTGCAAATGAGCTAAATGGTCCTCTGCGCGCAGGGACTTAGCCAACCTGCCAGCAATATAAACTTCTATTGTTGTACCTATTTGTTCTTTGAACATTTTGTTAACTAGGCATCGATATGTAGCTCCTATATTTTTTAGCCCGAAGGGTATTACATTGTGACAATAAGTTCCAAACTTAGTAATGAATGAAGTCTTTTCCTTGTCCTCCGATTTCATCCGAATCAGATTGTACCTGGAGTAGGCATCGAGAAAAGTTAGGATCTCGTGGCCGGCCGTAGCATCGATCATACGATCGATGTTGGGTAGTGGGAAAGAATCTTTCGGGCATTCTTCGTTCAAGTCCTTATAGTCTACACACATTCTAAGTTTGTTTCCTTTTTTAGGAACTATAACTACATTGGCTAACCACTCGGGGTATTTTACCTCCCGAATAGACCCTATTTTAAGAAGTTTGGTTACCTCGTCCTTTATGAACGCATGTTTCACCTCGGACTGGGGCCTCCTTTTTTGCTTCACCAGTTTGAACCTGGGGGCGATGCTTAGCCGATGTGTGGTGATTTCTGGTGGAATCCCTGTCATATCTAGATGGGACCAAGCAAAGCAATCCATTTTATCGATAAGAAATTGAATGAATTTTTTCCTGAGTTCGGAGGTTAATCCCATTCCCAGGTATACCTTTCTCTCAGACATGTATTCGATCAGTATGACCTGCTCCAGCTTCTCGATAGTTGACTTGGTTGCATCGGACTCTTCGGGAACGACCAAGGTTCGACGAGTAAGGAAATCCTCTTCTTCATCCTCGATTACCTGTTGCTCCAATTCCGTCGAGGCTGGGGACAGTGATTGCTATTTAGCTGCCTGCTTACCTTTGGTGTCCAATTTCTCCGAGGTCGAAGGCTCTGGTATAGGCACCACCTCCTCAACTGCAAAACATCTCCTTTGCAGCATGTTGCTCCTTGTAAATCGTTTTCACTCCATCCTTCATTGGGAACTTGATCATCTGATGAAGAGTTGAAGGTACTACCCTCATGTTGTGTATCCAGTCTCCCGAGGAGCGCATTATACCTCATGTCACCTTTGATGATATGGAATTTAGTATCTTGTATGGTCCCGGCTACTGGCAAGATAATTTCTCCCTTTGTTGTTTTGCTTGCCATGTTGAAGCCATTTAGGACCCGGGACGCAGGTACAATCTGATCCTGTAGGCCGAGCTGCTCTACGACCCTCGATCTGATTATGTTTGCTGAGCTACTTGGATCCACGAGAACACGTTTAACTTGAATTTTACTTAAAAGGATAGAGATTACCAGGGCATCGTTGTGTGGCTGAGATATGCCCTCTGCTTCCTCGTCGGGCACGGGAGTTATAAGTTTCCACCTTTTTGTCACTGTCTTCAATCCTCTTCTCTCCGGACTCGATCCTCTTGGTAAGCTCTTCGAGCATCCTCATAATGGTGGGGTCGGTCCCGAGTCGTTTCCATTTGACCTCTCTGGCACTGGCTCAGCATGTCAAGTGTTTTCATGTTCAGCTACACTCGTTGTCTTATTTTGACTTTGAAGTTGAGCAATGGCGATCTGTTGAGCTTGCAGCATCTCGAATATCACTTGGAGGCTGATTCCCCCCTTCACCCACTCCTTGTGTTCCTTGGCCACCAGGTCGGGCTTCCCTGCGTACACTCCCCCCAGGGTCTGTGCCTAAATCCACGTTTAGAGTAATGTGTTAACTAACATCAACTGGTTCCATATTTGGCACTTCCACATGGTTTATTGGCGGTACACCGACCCATATATTGTTGTTTTCTCCAAGACCTTCGTTGTCATGAACAGGTGCATTTTAAGAGCTAGACATATTTTAGCCTGAGAATCAAAAATTCTTGACAAGAAAAAGTGTTAAAATAACGTGTGTGACGAGAATCAGTAAAGAAATAATCACTATTATATTTAGTCCCACGGTTGGCGCCAAACTGTTTACCTCGAAAATACGAGTAACAATAAAATTTGATTTGTGGTTTTAATGATATGTGATTAAATTCAATACCAATTAAGATTCACGAAATATGAGTTAGAAATGAAAGAAATAAGTGAATCAAACCAATGTTACTCAGCAGTGGTGACCTCGAGCTTAGTGGCCTCGAGATGGATTAAGAGCAATAAAGTAAGAACAATAAATGTAAAAGACAACTCTGATGAGCATTAAGAGAGAAAAGTAGGATAATATATTCTTGCCAATGATGACATGAGATCTTACAAATGATTGGGGTCCCCTTTATATAACAGGGGAGCCCTGAATAAGGTATATTTCTATTTACAGTAAGGAATATTCTTGGTACAGCTGTCTAACCGTCTAGTACGGAATAGTACAATTCTATTCCGGGATTTGCGCCATGATCTTGGGGACATGGCAGGAATCTAGCCCATTCTGTTACAAGTCCATAACGGCACTATTTCGGGGTCGAGCATACTCGGCCTCGGTGTATGCATCATGCTCTGCCTTCGAACTCGGGTCTGGTCCCTCGAGCTCGAACTCAATCTTCCCTGAACTCGGGCTTTGGACGACCTATCGAGCCTATAGATCGAAGGCATACGATCTCGACCGTATACATAATTAAAAATGATAAGGGGCCACACTTTTATCCATGAAAAAATAGAGAATGGAAGCTGAAGAATAAATACGTTATGCCTTATTAAATTAAGCCACACATCTCTGAAGTTCATCAAACCCCAAACCATAAACTAAACAAAGTACCTCTCAGGCCTCAGCCATAATACAAAAATCCCATAGAGGTAATCGGAATCATTAATAAATATAGAACCCAAAAGAGCAGTAGCTAAAAAAAAACCTATATCTTAAACCCATAATTATTTTAGGACCACCACTTAAAAGTACACATGCAAACCAAATTCAGTACTAAACCTACACAAAAACAATCTAAATGTATACATACACATATATATTGTCGATTTGAACCAACACCCAAAACCCTAGACTAAAAAAAGTTTCTGAAATTCATAGGTGACTTAGTTGTAAACCCTAAAAGAAACCTTAAATAATTTTAAAATCAAATTTACCTTCTAAATAAACTTAAAACAAAGATTTAATCAAGTAAGAGTTTTACCTTGGTTGTATAGCTCAGAGGACATAGTGGTGCGTTCTTTTGACTTTTAATGAGTGATAGTGAGAATTGAGGGCTTAATTCGTTGTAGGTTGTATTTTTATGTGGGGGTGAAATTTGGGTTAGGTGGTGGGTTTCTTTTAAACGGATCGGATAAAAAAAGAAATGGATCGTTTTAATATGATGTTGGCACGTGACACTCCATCCAAAATAAGGGTATTTTTTCTAAAGTATGACGGCAGGGACATAGATAATCCAATAGTATAATGAGAGATATTCTTACACCATTTTCGAAAGTACAAGGTATTTGGCCCTTTGCCGTAGTCATAATTATACAATATCTAGCTGGCATTTAAATACAGTACTTTTTAATATTACCATTTTTATTAGTAGTTTAATTTATTGGGAATAAACCCTCCATAAATAATATTCACGGTAATAAAAGTTGAATAATAACATAGCACCGAGATATGACAATCAACAAAAATAAAAGAGTGACAACGACACCAAGATTTTTACATAGAAAACCCTTTCAAGTAAGGGAAAAATCACGAGTGATATCACGTACTATAATAAATAATTTTATATTTTATAGGCCCACGTAAAATACTCTAAAGACCACTATAACACTCAAAAGATATATCAGTAAAGTGCTAATTTTCCTCCACAAGTTGCATAGGTTGCCTCCAAACAACAAATTCTCAGCCATGTATTTTCCACATGCCTATTAATTTCGGTCTTGAATGGATGGACCCCATGATAATTAACTCCTCCTACAATAAATTTAATTTTGTTATCGTCAATACTACATGTAGTATTTGTAAGGCTGAAGTTTCGGTTGCCTTAGTGCAGTTTTCTATTTTCAAAAGTTTGGCCATGGCACTGATAATAAGATCAGTTCTTCATCTCCTATTTATTTCCTTGATCAGTTTCGTGGTTCTTCAGCAGAAAAGTGATGCTGATCAAGAAGTACTAATGCTTCAAAAACCACGATTGATTAATTGCAAATTTGATAAAATATATCAGTTAGGTGACTCACTTGCCGATACAGGCAACTGTATCAGAGAGAGGATTTGTGGAGCTCATACTCTATGTGCAAGATTTCCTTATGGAATGAATTTTTTTCAGAATGCAACCGGACGTTGTTCCAATGGCATGCTCATGATTGATTTCATAGGTTTGATACTTTATCTCTGTTACTCTTGACGTGTTTTCCAGATTTAACTACATATAAAAAGTTTTACACCATCATAGAATTTTAAGTTGTGATAGTAGATTATCTGTCATTTTTACTAGGTTACTTACTACTCCATATTAGTCCGTTTCAATTTAGATGACATAATTTCTTTATTAGTCCGTTCCAAAAAAATAACACATTTCTATATTTATAAATAATTTAACTTCAAAATTTTCATTCTAAACTCTTAATGAGAAGTTTTTATACCTAGGCAAATATCATGGTCTCACTAAGCTTTTGCCCCTTAAACTTTTAGTACCACATATTTCAAATGACTTTTTTTTTCTTGAACTTGTGCCAATTAAGTCAAGCTACATCATCTAAATTGAAATGAGAGAGTAATAACTTATCATAGAAATATATTATAATTATAAATGATCTGATTATGTAAATATTCTTTTTACAATATTAGTGCATAGAACTAGTTAACCAAACAATCTACCCGTTCATTCAAATATTTTACCAACGTGGTGCATTCAATTTATCCTCTCAATAGGTGTGAGATTGATCTTGTGCTATGTTATAATATAAGTTCTTTACACCAATATTTCACTATAACAATAAAAAAAATTAAAACATAAAAGAGACTGTTATAAACAGGTTTGTTTGTACTTACTAGTCTACGTAATCACATTTTGACAACGAAATCCTGCTATCAAATTCATAGGATGAAGTAATAAGAAAATCATTTGAAGGCCATACTACGATATTTAATACTAAAGAAAATTGGCAACTCAGTATTAATTTACCAGTCTATTAAGTGTTGACTTTCTATCAAATTCATAGGATGAAGTAATATATGCTTTCTTTTCTTTTTTAACACAGCGCTGGAGTCTGGTCTTCCTCTCCTAAATCCCATCAAGGATCAAAATGCAGATTTTAGACATGGTGCAGATTTTGCAGTAGCAGGAGCTACTGCTTTATCAGTTGAAATTCTGGAAAATATGAAGATGGTTAATCCATCAACCAATAGTTCATTAAGTGTGCAACTTGATTGGATGTCTTCTCATTTCGAAAACACCTTCTATACTGGTAATTAATTAATTAATTTGCTAAATACTTCCTAGTAACTAGGAAATATGTAATTAATAATCTAATTTAACGGAAGTTGAATTGATGAATATTTTTGCTTGCTAGATTTCCGAGACAAATTGAACAAGTCTCTTTTCCTAGTTGGAGGAATAGGAGGAAATGAATTCAACTTTGCCTTATCGCAAGGTAAAACGTTGGAAGAGTCGCGAACGATAGTGCCAGAAGTTGTTGAGGCCATCATTCATGGCGTTAGGGTGAGTTTTTTATTTTATACAGTATTTATTTTTTATTTTTTATACGCCCAGGCCCAGCCAACTAGTGATTTAATTGCTTAATTATATACCCATCATCTCTCCTGTATTTTATCGATGTGAGATTTGCCTAAGGTGTCACCTTATATACCTATTACCTAATGATCTGTTTACCTCTTTCAGAGGGTCATTAGTTTGGGGGCTACTCGAATTGTAGTTCCTGGCAATTTTCCAGGTGGTTGTTTTCCAATTATCCTAACCAGATTCATTACGGATAACTCAAGTGCTTACGATGAGCACCGTTGCTTGAAAGATTTCAATAATTTAATAATCTTCTTCAATGATCATTTGCGGCAAGCCATTCTAGACCTAAAGAAAGAGTACCCAACCATTACACTCATTTATGGTGACTACTACAATGCCTATCTCTGGCTTTTACAAAATGCCATCAGTCTTGGTAAGTGATGCTAAAAATACGTACTCCTCATTCTTATGTGTTTATAAAAAAGTATATGCATTTATAAATTTTCTTTTCAGGATTTGACAAAAACTCTCTACAGAAAGCTTGTTGTGGAATAGGAGGAGATTACAACTATGACTTACATAATCAATGTGGAGCTATAGGAGTTCCAGTGTGCATTGACCCGAGTACTTACATCAGTTGGGATGGAGCTCATTTAACACAAGAAGCATACAGTTGGTTGGCAAGATGGCTAATTGATAATAATATCTTACCCCAATTGAACTGTCAAGCATAAGTGTATGAATCGGAAAGCATATTTCTTTTCTATTATATAGAAAAGGAAAGATGGTCAACCAAGGGCATATATGTCATTTCGAAAAAAATTATTGTATTATTTGCATTTCTTAAATGCATATTGTGTCATCCTTGATATACGTGGAACCCACATTCCCTTGACCACATCACTCCTTTAAAAGTTTAAATGTAATGTAGATTAGACTACTTTTGCATAGAGTTACTCCATGCAAATACTCATTTTGAATATTTTTTCTCATTTGATAAAATAATTAATTTTTTTTTTAGTCAACTAAAAATTTTCACAGAAAAAGTAAATTTATTTTTAAATAATAAAGCAACATTTACAAGATTTTCATATTTACCCATACTATTTTAACACAATTTAAAAAATAAATTTAAAAGGTTTTCATGTATTCACACTATTTGAAGGAGATTTCAAACCTAAAAGTTTTACATACAAAAGTAATTTTAAAAATTATAGTTTGTTAAACCTTAAAAGTTAATTTAAGTGATGATATTTGTTCATCTGTTCTAGGAGGTTATCTCTTATGTACTTAATTGATGTGAACGTTTGATTTATATGGTTTGAACTCCATTCTTCCATGATAAATTTTCAACAATCTATAAATTGTCTTAAAATATTTTATATTATTTCATTATAAAAATTACATATGATAAATCTATAGAAAAAATAAAAACGTTTCTCTTATATCCTTAATTAAGAATATAAAAATCTCTATAATTTATATAGACTTCTATCAGATATTTATTATCTTATCACCAGTAACATCATTTTAATCGAGTTATAATAAAATATAATTTGAACTACTATATTGAATTACTACAATTTATATCATGTTAATATTTATTTAGTGTAGTTGGTTCTCTTTGTTTGAAGTAGTAAATTACCTCTTTAGGGATGCAAGTCCCCTTGGAAGTTCTCTTTGTTGATTATACTAAAAATTTCTCTTGATTTTGTTGTATACAAGACATAAAGTAAAATCATAAATTTTTTTTTTTTTAACTTTTCTCGTATTGTAAAGAATGATGTTGTTCGTTTTAACTTTCATCAGGTAGTTGATTGTTCCCACTATTGAAACACTTGCAAGACCAAATTGGATGTATTCAAAATTAGTTTACAAATAGATCGGTAAATTTTTTATTGTAGAAAAATTATTAATATAAATTACACTTGTACCTTTAATGTATTATCTTGTTAAAAATTCAAATATAGTGGGGAAATAATACCATTCAATCAATTTTATAATTTGAAGTTTATATTTGACATTGATGTTAAAATGAATATTATAGCACATAGTCTTTTTATGTTAACTAGTATTAGTACCCGCGCGATGCACGGACATAAGCAACGTCAAATCATGGTTTGAATTATTTGAACTATATGCAAATAACCTTAAAAGTAAACCTACTATATAGAAATTATAAATAATTATTAGATATTAATTAAGAAGCAAGACATGAAATTAAAGAATATTAAACATATAACGTTGTGATTTATCTTGTTTGAGCACAATAAATCATATTATTTTAGCAAAATTCTTANAGGGACCGGTCCAGTATAATATACGGGAGTTCTGGTGCATTTGAGTACGAACTCCAGCATATTATGCTGGACCGGTATACTTTGCTAACTCCTGTAAAATTTGCGGGAGACTGGAGCACCAGTGCTCCAAACTCCAGTATATTATACTGGACAATTATACTTGCTGGAACTCCCGTAAAATTTGCGGGAGTTCCAGCATAATTATGCTTGAACTCCCGTAAAATTTGCGGGAGTTCCAGCATAGTTATGCTGGAACTCCCGTAAAATTTACGGGAGTTCAAGCATACTTATGTTGGAACTCCCGTAAAATTTGCGGGCGTATTTTTTCGGATTTTGAACAGTGTTTTCGCTCAGATTTAAAGTGGCTAAATTTCGATGACTTTTGAAACTTGGTTATTTTTCAACGACCAGTGATAAATCTGACTATTTTTAAATTTCTTCCTAATTTAAAGATTACAATGTTGGGCCCGCATACGGGCCTTTCCTCTTCTGGTATTCAAAATAAACGCTCTTTCTGTCGACACAGCACAGTGCCGATTTAAGCCATATTACCACGTGCCGATTGATGACATTATTGAAGCCTTATTGAAATGGCAAGTGCATTAAATCAACTTTGCTTTCCTGAATGCTATTCATTTTTATTCTCTACTTATCTCAATATGAACAAATCAAATAGCAACTACTTTCTCTTTTTATGTTTTGATTGTTTTTGTGTTTCAAAATATTAAGGGGTTCATGTCCAAAGTTCAGACGTGACTAGAAATCAAAGTTCAGTGTTGTTTTATTTCTTTTTTCTTTTTCTTGATATAACCTTTTTCCCTTGATCTATTTTGCCTTACAAATCAATTAATAACTCAATCTGAAGCGATTATTTTGGGGTTAATTTTATCAATGATCACTTAACTTTTATTTTATTTCACTAATTAGTACAAATATCTAACAAAATTATGTGGGAACAGTATAGTGTATTCTCGAGTTTCCACATGGGGTAGTGTGCAAAGTTATGCCATGTGGAGTCAATCGTATAAATAAATTAAAAGGCCATACATAGTTTCTCTGTTAAACCCGAGAATAGATGAAGAATATTGTGATGCCGACGATATTTTAAACTTTCAATGATTAGATTATACATATAGTAAATATCAATAGGAAATCTTTTCATATTCAAGAAAAGAAAATCAGAAATTTTTTATAGGAGTAAGAAAAAAGGGATAGCTTTCTTGAACGTGTACTATACTTAATACTATGCAAAATGTTAGAGTATCATGCAACTGTCATTTAGGTAAGTCGATTATTATTATTATTATTATTATTATTATTATTATTATTATTATTATTATTATTATTATTATATACTGTATTATTAAGTTAATATTATTATTAAAATATTTAGAGCTTTCTGCAGGGAAAAATTATACTAATAAACCTGTTAATCGAGACTGCATGTGTAGTAATAATACTAGATTAGGAGACCTACAGTCTCTCCATTACGGAGGGGATCCGTAACAACCACGATTTGTCTCATCGGTCATCGACAATTCTCACGAAGCGGATGAATTCCCCTTCTCCATTCATTTCTAAGATGCAGAGAATCAACCCTAGCCGCCGCTATTATAAATAAGTGAGTCTCCCAACACCATAGTACAGTCAAAACCTCTCTATAACAACCTCATTTGTTCTGAATATTTTTGGATGTTATAGCAAAGTGCTGTTATATAGAACATATATTATAAAATAACATGAAAATTGATTTCGAAAATACTTCGCTTTTATAGTGAAGTGTTGTTATATAGGGATGCTGTTATAGAGATGTTGACTGTAGTGTTTATATAAACTGCACTACTTTACACAAGAAGCATAAAGTTGGTTGGCAAGATGGCTAATTGATGATATGTTACCACAATTCATGAACTGCCATGTTTAAGTTTAACTCTTAATTTCTTGGCAAAGTGCACATAATTAGTAAGGAACTAATCAATTTGAACATTCCAAAGAGAGTTATTCGATTAACTGATAGATTTACCTTCAACGTTTTTATATATTTTTGTAACGATCCGACCGGTCGTTTTGCTTTCTAAAATTATGTTCTCTTAAATAAGACTTCCCGTACTTGCTTTTACTGATTTATGACTTACGAGGATGGTCAGTTCGTGATTTGGAAGAGTTTGGGTTGAACTCGGAACACTTGGTTCCTTAAGGTTAGCTTAAAAGGCCAAGTTTGACTTCGGTCAACATTTTGAGTAAACGACCTTGGAATCAGGATTTGACGGTTCCAATAAGTTCGTATGGTGATTTCAGACTTGGCCGTATGTTCAAATCGGGTTTTAGATGATCCGAGAGAGTTTTGGCGCCTAATAGTGAAAGTTGTTTCTTAAAGGTTTGAAAGTTCTTTAAATTTGGTTTGGAGCGGGTTTTGGTGATATCGAGGTCCAAATAGAATTCCAAGATCGGGAATAGTTCCGTAATATCATTTAAGACTTACATTTGATGTCATTCCGAGTAATATAAGTACATTTCGGCGCATTGGAAGTAAATTGAAGAACTTGAAGTTCTTAAGTTTGAATCAATTGGTTTTAGGGTGTGATTCTTAGTTTTAATGTTGTTTCGGGCGTTCCGAGAGTTTGAGAAAGTCCGTTTTATGATTTCGAACTTTTTGGTATGTTCGGGCAGGGCCCCGATGGCCCCGAGCGTCAATCGGATGAGGCCCGGACCAAGTTGAATGTTTGGAGCAAGAGCCAAAGCTCCAGCTGCTGTCTTAACCGCACCTGCGGTTGGTCAGCCGCAGGTGCGAGCTCGCAGGTGTGGGCAACGCCTTTCAGATGCCTCCCAAGGAGAGGAACCCAGGTTCCGCAGATGCGGATCCTTTTCCGTAGAAGCGGGACCGCAGGAGCGGGATCCACTCCGCAGAAGTGACCCCAGCCAGCCCAGCCAATTCCGTAGAAGCGGACACCTGGTCCACAGAAGCGGATCCGCAGGGCGGCCTACGCACCACATGTAACGACCCGTCCGTTCGTTTCGTGAGTTATAGCCGCCATTTCCCCCATTTCTGCTTCCTTTTGTGTCCCTCAACTGTAATTTATCGTATCGTATTGGTTGGTTCGGGTCCGTAGTAGTTTTGGAGTAAATTGAGACACTTAGTCTCTTTTGTGAAGGCTTAAGTTGGGAAAGTTGACCGGATATTGACTTATGTGTAAATGACCTCGTATTTGAATTTTAATGGTTCCGTTAGCTCCGTTAGGTGATTTTGGACTTAGGAGCACGTCCGGAATGTGATTTGGAGGTCTGTGGTAGAATTAGGCATGAATTATTGAAAATTGGAAATTTGGCGATTTTGGTTGGCAGTGGATAATTTGATATCGAGGTCGGAATGGAATTCCGGAAGTTGGAGTAGATTCGTAGTGTCATTTGTGACGTGTGTGCAAAATTTGGGGTCATTCGGACGTGATTTGATAGGTTTCGGCGTCGTTTGTGAAATTTTGAAATTTAGACATTCATAGGCTTGAATCCGAGGGTAATTTGGTGTTTTGATGTTGTTTTGAGTGATTCGAAGGTTCGACTAAGTTTGAATGATGTTGTGGTATGTGTTGGTATGTTTGGT